TAATGCATTAATCACAATTCAATTAAGATCCACACATAATGCATTATTATTTTTCAATTACATTAATTGTGTGCTGATATTTGCACCTTGTGTCAAACAGAAATAAAATATCACCAAAGTACTTTGAGTTTGTGCTACCACCTACAGCTGAGCAATACAGGTACAGCTAATCAGACTGATGTCAGCAGGCAACTGCATCACCAAAGCTGGCAAAGCACTATTTTGGAGTGAATGAATCGCCACAGACCTGTGGATGAAACTAAACTGGAAAGGTTAACTACAGCGCTTGAAAAATGGGTGGAAACTGACAGCAGACCTTCGTCTTGTGTGTGATTTATCCTTGCTTCATTCATAAAGAAAATTTCCACGAGCTGCCACGCTACCTTATAGGCTACAATGTAATGTACCATAGGTCTGTGCTAATAATGTTAGCACGTTGTATTTGTGTGAGTATTAATTAAGCTCAATTTTGTAATGCTACCTTTATTAAATGTTGCTGTTGTCCTCATATGAGTAGAGGGGAACTCTCTAGTCACTTCATCTAGTGAGTTTCTCACTAGATGAAGTAAAAGTATATTATAGTGTCCCAAGTATATTACATTGTAATTCATCTACCCCCTCTCCTGAGCAGTGCCATAGGTATGGGGCAGACAGAAGGAGGGGAGACACTGCATGCTACAGAAGTGGGAGCTATAGTGAGTTTCTGTGGTTAACTCTCTTGCTCTTTGGACTGGAAGCGTGAGAAAGTGGTGCACCATGGTATAAACTCCATTGCCCTCTTGCATTCACATGTTTTGTTGAGAATTTTTCTATTGACTCTAACTGTAGAGAGTAGCAAAATGCTTCCATTATCCCAAATGAATATGGAATGACGTCACTTGTATGCAATCTATGGTGACTTTTGGCGATGATGCTAGTTATTTTCATTGAAAAAGAATTGGCAACAAAGCGTCCAGGGGATTTTTAACAGAAGCTGAATTATCAGCGGAGGTCCCTTCCTCTCCAAAACAAATGGACCAGGTGATCAAAACCAGTAAAAATATGATACTTATTTTCAGATGATGATACACCAAAGAAAACATACTTAATTTATTATATTCCATTTCTGCCAATATATCCTCCTAAATCCTACACACTGGACCTTGAGCTCTAAGTGCAGAAGAGTTCATCTGTTGATATCTCAGCAGGACTCAGATTGGCATTGTTTCAGTTTGTGGCCACAATAAAAGCACCTTCTGGGCATGAGGTCTCAGCTTTGTATATAGCAGTTGGTGTCAGCGTTGGGTCAAATGTACACTGCTGTGAGGATGACTGATATAAAATCCCTCAGGGAAAGATAAGGGCAGCATCTGATCATAAGTTACCCTTGATTTGGAAAACAGCCTATAGAAATTATTTCCACATCTGAGTACTACTTGTTGTGTCTGTGCAAAAAAAAAAAAAAAAAAGATGAATAAAGATGGTGAAGTTGATCTCAGCTCCTTTGTGTCTGTTTCTATGTGTTTGCTCATAAAAACGGAGGAAAATTCCCACACATAAAATTCACCCCCGCAATGCCTTTTGATCATTTTACAAAGACATTTCTCCTGGTACACTTTTACATAACACGTAGCATATGTAACAGTATATAGCAATGAAGGAGATGAATGGAAAGTCATCTTTATTTCTTTTCTGCGGGTGTTTTTATGTGATTGGGAATCTTGAAGATCAATCGAAATACCTGGTTATGGTTTGCATGTTCCACATTTTATTGTACAGTGGCATGCCAAAGTTTGGGCACCCCTGGTCAAGATTTCGTTTACTGTGAATAGTTAAGTGAGTAGACAATGAACTGATCTCCAAAAGGAATTAAGTTAAAGATGAAGATTTCCTCAATATCTTAAGCAAGATCACTTTTTGTAACTAGCCAAGAGTCTTTTAATTCTTGTTCTGGGGATTTTCACCCATTCTTCCTGCAAAAATCTTCTAGTTCTGTGAGATTCTTGGGCCGTCTTGCATGCACTGCTCTTTGAGGTCTACCCACAGATTATTAATGATGTTTAGGTCCTGGGACTGTGAGGACCATGGCAAAACCTTCAGCTTGTGCCTCTTGAGGTAGTCAAGGTGTGTTCAGGTTCATTGTAATGTTGTAGAAGCCATTAGGGGTGGGGGAAATTTCCGATTCTTAGATACATCACGATTCGGACGTGGACGAATCTGAATCGATTCACAAACGTCCAAATTTCGATTAATTAGAGTAATACAGAAGGTTCTAAATGATGCGGAACTAAGAAGCGTGGTACGCGTCATCTCTGGGACACTTTGGGATGCGTACCTGGAGCAGACACGCCAACACGCGCACAGAGGAAAACAAACATGGCTGACCGCCACCCACCTCGCCGTGAGATCCGAACAGCTCCTTCTAATTTAAAAGCAGACGTGTGGAAATACTTCGGCTTCTACAACGTTGACGGCGTAAGGGAACTGGACAAGAGCCACGTTATATGTAAGCTGTGTCGTGCTAAAATAAAATACTTTGACAACACAACAAACAGGAGAAGCCATGTAACTCGATTCCACCTGATGGAGGAGTCAGGGAGACGGCAGGCTGTTGTTGCTGCGGCAACTAGTGGCGCTACCAACCAGAGAACAATTGAGGAAGCAATTAGAAAGCTGCCACCCTCATCGGAAAAGGCCAAGCGAATTACGAAGGCCATCGCGGCATTTATTGCCAAGGATTTGCGTCCTTATTCCGTCGTGGAAAATCAGGGATTTCGAGCACTGCTGCATACACTGGAGCCCAGATACACCATCCCATCCCGACGCTATTTCACCGACACGGCCATCCCGACACTCTACCATCAAACCAAAACAGAAGTCATGGCCTCACTGTTGAAGGCAGGCAGGCAGGTAGGATCGCAGTTACATGTGATGCGTGGACGTCTGTCGCCACCGAATCATTTGTTACTCTAACTGCGCATTTTATCTTGTGATTTAAGATACCTGTTGTTACCTTTGGTTTCTTACAACGAAGTTGTAACTTTTCAGTTTGCATTCATTTCCATTTATATGTTTAATAAAATATAATGGAAATGAATTCAACTGTTTCTTATTACAAATGCACTGTTTTTAAAAATTGCAAGTGTTGAATGCTTATTCAGTGAGACAAAAAGAAATGTGTGTTGTGCATCAATATACATAAATTAAAGATGCATCAATAATCGTTTTATAATCGACTCGTAGCCCCTGAATCGTAATCGTTATCGAATCGTGAGGTGCCCAAAGATTCCCACCCCTAGAAGCCATTCTCTTATCATCTTATGCTTTTTTACAGATGGTGTGGAATTTAACTGAATCCATTCTTCCCTCTACCTGTGAAATGTTCCCTGTGCCACTGGCTGCAACACCAGCCCAAAGCATGATCAATCCACCCCTGTGTTTAACAGTTGGACAGGTGTTCTTTTTATGAAATTCTGCATTCTTTTTTCCAAACTATTTTGTTCATTGAATCAAAAATTTCTATTGTAACTTCATCAGTCCACAGGACTTGTTTCCAAAAAGCATCAGGCTTGTTTAGATGTTCTTTAATAAACTTCTGAATTTTGTGGTGAGGACACAGGAAAGGTTTTCTTCTGATGACTCTTCCATGAAGGTCATATTTGTACAAGTGTCGCTGCACAGTAGAACAGTGCAACCCACCACTGAGTCTGAGAAATCTTCCTGCAGGTCTTTTGCAGTCAAACAGATTTCTGATTTGCCTTCCTACAATCCTACAAGCAGCTCTCTCATAAAGTTTTCTTGGTCTTCCAGACCTCAACTTGACCTTCACAGTTCCTGTTAACTGCCATTTCTTAATTACATTATGAAATGAGGAAACAGCTACCTGAAAACACTTTGCTATCTTCTTATAACCTTCTCCTGCTTTGTGGGCATCAGTTATTTTAGTTTTCAGAGTGCTAGGCAGCTGTTTAGAGGAGCCCATGGCTGCTGATTGTTAGGCCTTTCTTAACAATGATTGTGAACAAGCCAGAGCCCTAACAAGCGAATTAAGGTTTGAGATTCTGGTAAAAGTTGTCTGAGAGCTCAAATGTCTTGGAGTGCCCAAACTTTTGCATGGTGCTCCTTTCCATTTTTCACTCTAAAACTCTACAAAACACAATTAATACACTAATCTTGCTTAAAATGTTGAAAAGCATGTTTCATCTTTAACTTCGTGCCTTTTGGAGATCAGTTCATCCTCTAATTACTTTACTATTCACTGTAAACCAAAGTTTGACCAGGGATGCCCAAACTTATACAGGCCACTGTAGAGCTGAATGAAGAAGCATTTTAATTTTTTTCTGTGGATGTTTTTATGGGATTGTGAATCTTTCAGAACAATTCAAGTGCCCATGGTTTGCATGTTCCACATTTTTAAATGCGTCATGCAGCTTGGGACTCGAAAAAAGATGACAGTATCAAAGGTATACAGGCCTTAAAAAAACTTTAAAAAGGTCGATTTGGAGTGAGTGGGCTTAAGCTTACAAAACTAAAAACAAACAAAAAAGGCATGTCACTTTAAGAAGCCAACTAGAAGCATTTTTAATCTACAACGGGTATTGGAACAGCCACTGAGGTAAGTTTGGAAAAAACATCTCTCCTGCCAAACCTCCTGCAGGAACCACTGTTAAACATGCATGAGAATTTTATTAGCATTCATTTTGCTGTTGGATTAACAAGAAAACAACACCAATAAAAATATTTCACCTTTTACAAATACATGGCACAGATGCCAAGTTTAACTTGTTGTGCATCCCTGAGGCAAAGGTGGAGCTGTGAGAAATCAGATATGCAGACTGAACAGACCCATCCACACTAGCTGAACCGCTGGCTAAGCCTGGCACAGCTCTGCACTGCAGCTTTGATCAATGAGTGCTCTCTTCATGCAGAATGATGGTATTACACTGTATGTGCACTACAGCTCACAGCTCTGAATTAAACATAAGATTAGACAGCACTGATTGACTCAAACAACAGCAAGATCAATTTGGTTCTTTTTTATTATTTATTCTCTGCAAGTAAAAATATCTCTTTAAAGTGCATTGGTACAATGTTGAGTTGGCACATGGCATGTCATTTCTTGACATTCTGCACATTAGTTACTGCAAACACAAATCCACCCTGAACACAAGTCTACCAGTGATGTTTCCAGGACCTTGAACTGCTGACTTTAGAACTACTGACATAAGACTCTAAATTACAGTCACAAAACCATCAAATCTTAACAAAGCTTCACTGACATACTGGACACAGTGACATCATCAGTATGTTCTACATTCTAATTGTCACGAGAGCAATTTTGTTCATCAGACCAGACCTCAAGTCAGTCTTACAGAGAAGCCTTACAATTTGTTTCCGATGATCGCTGAATGCTTTTTTGGGATCCCAGGTTAACCCAAACAGTGTCTTGTGATCATTAGTGAACAATGCATGACAGTGCACTACGGTAATCATCTCTAAATACCAGACAAGGCAGTGATTACCTCATGTCTGAATCTCAAACATTTGTATCAAATGATTTGAATGTGGTTTGTGTTATGCTGACATCATGAAATAATCACTTTGTGATGATGATGAGAAAACAAAATTTGTCATGCTGAAATTGTAAAATTTAGTCTGTGATCATCGGAAAATAAAACTGAAATAATTACACATATGTAAGGAAGCAGAGAGCGGCCCAATCATTTTTTTCCTAACTCCTACCTTCAGATCATTAGTTAATGATCTCAGTGTTTTTAATAACAAGTTACTTTGTCTGAAGATATTCTATCTGAAGATAACACACCAGATGTTCTTGTTTTCTCATGATAACAGGAAAAGAGAAACTAAAGGGTATTTACAAAAGCATAGTGATGCCACACCAGAAAAAACTGATGCTGATCAGTTTTTAAAAAAAAGATATTTACATAACAAGATACTCTTCTTGTAAAATTATGACCTGACCTTTTTTTTTTCTTGGCATGGCAGCTCTACGCCTCTGTAGCTCATTTTACGAGATAACTGACAAAACAAAACAAAAATCAGGCATAAACATGACATAAAGGAATAAATGTCAAATTTTCAACTTTTTAAATAAGATATCGTTTTCTCAGTGTTTGTGTTTAATTTTCTCAGGATGCAAGTCTTGTTTTCTTGAGACATTGGAATACAGCAAATTTTCATTTGAAAACAAAAGTTGGTTTCCTCAAGATATTGGATTCTAGATAGTAATCCTGAGATAACAGGCCAAACATCATAGGAAAATACAGTGATGAAAACCATGATTGCAAATAAAGCAGGTCTCTGCTCTCGTACCGATCTCATCTCTTGTAAACAAATTTGAACACTCTCTGCATTTCTAAAACCAGACATCTTTCAAATTATATTTCAGAGATTTTTTTTTTCCTCTTTAAAAAAAAAAAAAAAAAAAAAAAAAAATCAGTTATGGCATGAAACCAACTTTAAAGACATGGAAATTTTACACAAAATTAGCAGGTCCAATACAAAAACAATTAGGGTCAAAACCTAATACATTCAATATACTACAGAAACACTCAGCAGCACAAACTTTATTTAACTTGAAAACATCCTCTGCTGTGTGAGCTTTAGATCCACCCATTAATCTTCCTTTCATGTTGTAGCATACACTGTCATATCATCCTTCAGTCAATCAGTCACATATTGATAATGGCTTTATGTTCCCCTTGGCTTTATCATACAATAATGTGCTTCAGTGATTATTTGGTGATTGTTCATCAACCATGAACCCCCCAGGAAAAGAAAACTAATAAGACTGCTCAAGAAAAGAGAAAAGGCAAGTAAGTAAGTCAGTCTGTAGAGGATACTGTTTTTGTTTACATCGTAAAACCATTGAGAACAATTTAAGGACTCGTCTGTCCATATTCATCATCATCACATATTGTTCAGAACTGTAACAGATGCAGCTGAGCATTTGTTCATCACTCTGTCAAATGTATTCAAACTTTTAGACAATTTTCTGTGCATTAACTTTTATATAACTTCCATAGTACTGAACTGTGACTCATATTTGTGAGATTCTTATAGTAATCTATTTCATGAGCTGCAGTATATCACTCATTATGGCAAACCTCATAATTTTGATAACACCTAGCATAATTATAAGTAAGCTAAGTCACAAAATATTATATGGAAGTCATAATTTGTAGTTTGTTTTTTTGCTGAATGTGATGTTTCCAGGAATGATGCACCTCCAAAATGCATTCAAAACAAGTGGATGAATGGCTTAAGGTCCATGTTCATCAGTGATGTCTAAAACATACCGACAAAAACAGGAGAAAATGTACAGTGAGGTACATACTAAGCTATATGAAGAATCTGTTTAGGAAAACATCATCCAAAAACAAAACAGAAAACACACACCTCAATATACTCAAAATAGTTTAGCATTTAAAAATATATTCACCATTAGCAAAAATTATACATTATATTGAAATAAGCAATCTAGTATGGCCCTGTTCCCATGACTCACTGCAGGATGAGCGTGCAAAAAAATTAAACACTGAAAAACAGCTTAAATGTCATCGGCATTGATGAAAGCTTGTGGAACTAAACTGAAATGATAAGACTTTGAAACACAAAGAAATGTATGGGAAATAGACTTAGGTGCTGCTAACCTCAGTTGGATCTGGATGATACCGTATCTCCATTAAGAGTGAGGCCCTGGATGCACAGTATTTAGCTTGAAAAGTGCTAGCCTAACTCCATCACAAGAGAAATGCTAGCAATTGCCCATTTTCAGTCTTTATGCTAAGCTATGCTATTAATACAGCTGTGTCTTAAAACATGGAAAAAAGTTTACTTGTTCGACACTGTGAAGCTGTCATTGGCTAAACCGTGTAAGGTTTTAAGATTTTCCTTAAACCTGTACAATAGAGTGTTGACAGCAGAGCAATGACGAGAAATGAGAAAGAAAAACGGAATGGCAACAAGTGTCCCCACCTGTACTTAAAGCAGCGGACGTCGTGGTTCATGCACAGTAATTTAAACCCCTAATCCACCAGGGCACCCCAATTAATCTCTTCTCCTTTTGTCTATTTTAAGAGTACGATGATGATGAACTTCATAGCTTTTTCTCATGTCTGGATGCAAGGGGCATTCAGTAAACAGAGAGCCCCAGGATTGAGTCCTACAATCCATAAATGACTTTGGATTTTAGCACTCCTGGCCCCCTCTTCTTGAAGTCAATGGGTTTTTTGAATGGGGTTTTGGTTAGATGCCAGAAATAAGGTCTATGATTAACGCAAGCTGAAGAGACTTTCACGTTTTGTTCTACGACATCAAATACATCAGCAAATACCCCACTGTGAATTTTGAGGCTTTTATGTGTCTTAAAAAAGGTGATTGCTAAAGAGTGGCTAAATGACACTGCAGAACATCATCACACAGAACATGGCTTTACAGCCTGTTGGTGACATTTAGTCATGTGACCGTGGTGTAATTTGTTCATAACCTAATATTAGATTTTTACTTTCAGCAATTGCATTTAGGCTTTAATTATCATAAAAGCGGTGTTCATTTGTGAAGAGTATCTTGCCGAACAAAGCATGTAAGTATCATAAACATTTGTTTACTACTAAGATTATTTTCTGCAATTATCCAAAATCCAATGAAAAAATCCCATAGGCTTTTTGGCAGGGGAACCAGGATGATATTAATTTTCATGTCGGCCTACAAAAAATATCGTTGGAAAAAACTATTTTCAACATCCTACTTTCCATGACTTAGCATTTTTAAGACCCTAAAAGGGTTGATTTAAGACATTTTCATATCAGTTAAGGCCTTATTTATGGATTCATGAATTCAATGCCATTAAGACTTTGTACGGAAGCCCTGTGGGAACCCTGCATGTACTATAACTGTGGGTTTTTAGAGGAAACTGATTTCCAAAAAGTCTGATTGTTTCTTTAAAGCAATGAAATAAAGGGATGCTTTAAAGAATGCCTTAATTTTAGATTCACAAATATAATGCCTTTAAGAATTTTGAGGGAACTGCAGAAACCCTGCACATACTATGACTGTGGGTTTTACAGGAAACTCATTTCCCAAAATGTCTGATTGTGTCCGAATGTGTAGTGAAATGAAGAGATGTTTAAAACAAACCAAAACAACAATAAAATGCCACATAAAGGGGGCTCCACATACCACTGCAAATCATATTTCACATGGTTACACAAAGGTTTACTGTTGTCTTAACAACAGTCCTCTCCTTACTTATCTCCAGACCTTTCCTTGCCATTTGGAATATACTGTAATGTTTTCTACAGAATGCTACAGTGAAAAAGTGATGTATGACTATTTCCACAAGTCGCCAATCCAAGCTACAATGTTTAGTGTGTGAAACCACATAACGAGGGTGGGTATGCACAGCTGCCTTTGTAATGGGCAGATAGAAGACCTTACAGCTGTTCTGCCTTGTGTCAAATCTTTGAAATCACTGATCAAGTTTATGAAAAAAAGTGGAATTAATTTAACTGAGGATGATTTGATTCATTCTCAGTGTTAACTAAACAAAGCAGTTTGTTTTAATGTGTCTGCCTGAATGTCTTTTTTTTTTTTAAACACCATCACTAAGCAAAGCAGCTGCCATCCAAATAAACACACCTCTGCCGCTCGTAACATGCACACACAGAAAACACTAAGCCAGCGTCAACACACTGACAAGACAATGAAAAAATCTCCAACTTGATGATTTGACTGAGATGACTCTGTGGTCTCTCTCTGGCCTACCGACTAAACCAGACACCACACAGTATATACTTTGGCCCTGACACACCAGGCCACATCTGGAGAAACTTAATGCAGAGTGATGGAAATACATCTTCCACTGCATTCAGCTGGCAGGAGTACCTGTGTTAAATCCTGATGTCTTTCTGAGAAAACTCCTCTACCTCTGTGGAATCATGTAAAGTTTTTCCACATAGTTATTTACTTTTAATTAAAGTGTGGAAGAAGCTGGTTCAAGTCCAGCTCTCTGTGCTGTGGAGTCACACAGGTCAGATCTTTTTCGTGGCACACTACTGCTACTGAAGGGACTGGTATTTCATTGGCAGCTACATTCAAAGGATTATTCAACTGTAATACATATATTACAACTTGAATCTTACTGTTTGTAGTTTTGGCCATCTTTTCTATCAGTTACAAACACACTTTACCTATCAAAGCAATTGTAGATTGTAAAACTAACAAATGATCTAAACCCCTACATTTAGAGGTCAAGTGCACCTGAAATGTTGGTACTAATCTCTTATTTGAAAGCCACAAGCCCAAATGGGTTGGTCTCACAATAAAGTTGTTGTTTATACTACAAATGTTCTTGGAGACCTTTTCCCTCTCTGTGCACCTTGGATGCTGGTGAAGCTGGGGCAGAAATTAAGACTCTGCTTATAATCTCTCATCCATATGAAAAACAAAAACCAACCTGTCTGATCATCTGACCCCATGTATTTGCTGTGTAACCACAGGAAACAGTGATGTCACAGTGTCCTCCTGACACACACTGAAGTACACTACTACACCACTGCAGGTCAGCAAAGGAAGATTTTCAGGGGTGTTGAGATGCCGTGTTTCCAGGTCTCAGTAATTTACTTTGAGTACAATGTTTCTATAGTTCTTTTTACACAGATATGGCATTATAGGGCCACCTTGAAGTCCCTTCTATATGCCTCCTTTGTATTTTTACACAGAGCGAAACAATAGCAACATCTTGCCGCTACAGTGTGTAATTTTAAACAGCACACCAGCATCATGGAAGCAAAAGAGAACATATTCGGCTGCTTCTTCTTTGGGTTAGCTGCTAACTGCTACCATCTACTTTTGAAATCTCATGCAGTCGGTTACACACCAACAACTTGTCCAAACGTCACAGCCGTCACATTCATGGTCCCATCCTGCTGGCTGTCCAGCGCCGTTACAACTTCCACTGCTGGCTTAAAGGTGAGATAACTCTGTCCCCGTATTCCACAGTCATACTTTTTGTAAAGAACATTGAGGCAGACAAACAGTGTGACATTCCAGCCTTGAACAGGCAGTGTTTAAGGGGCTTGTGTCTGAAAGATATGATGGCCAAAACTGTAACAGTGAGTCTCAAGTTATAATAAACCAGAACAAACTTACATTTAAAAAGGTAAACCTGTGACTCTGAGCCCTGAACTCCCCAAATTATGACTAAAACTAAAAACCAGTTTATGTCATCTCAACTACTGACATCAACAACTGAAACGACCAATCACTGCAACTGTTACTTTGTGCTGGTAGTGAAAATATCTGATGGGTAGAAATGTCAACACATCTAAAATATATATATGTAATATTGAATTGTGCAAAACAAAATCAGAAGAAGCCCATTTGTTTCAGAGTAAATTCTCAAATATACTAAATAAACACCTAGCCCTAGTGATGTGTTATGTTGCACATATATGGGAATTTTTCATGATACGCATCTTTGTTCATTTCCAATGTGATGTGTTTGGGACGTGCTAAATGAAGAGCCTGTTAGTCAAACAGTCAATCAGCCAGTCTAGGCTGATTGAGAAATTTCTTATCAATGGGTTCCCACTTCTATGTTTTTTCTATTTGTGGCTGTGGGATAAGTCATTCAGTCCATCACTGGAAAATGACTAGTCTAATCTCCAACATAATATTCATAAAAATGCTTTGGTCCTTTATAGGGCTGTCACTTTTTTTTTTCATTTTATTACATTTTTGCATTTTATTATAAAATGCATCATGCTATAAATTAACTTGAATGAATGAAAAAGTGTCAGCCCTGGTCCTTAATGAGCATTAAACTTCTGTGTGACTACATTCATCTGCAAAAGTACAATAATTCAAATATTATGACACCTTTTTTTTTTTTTTTTAAGTCAGACATTGAAAAAAATTTTTTATCACCTTGGAAGCATTCTGATTGGTCCAGCCACCCTAGAACCAAGCACAGCTGTCATGGGACGATAGCAAAGTCCATTAGAGGGCTTTGCACGTACACACAGAACTGAGTTACACCAAAGTAACCTTGATTTCTGTTGCTCAAAATTCGGCAAAACTGGGACAAGCCAAACTCTCCACATTCAAACCATCCAAAAGAAAGAGAAGCAGGAAGAAACAAAGCGTTAAGTGGAAAAGTTATGATAGAAACAGATCAGTGACTGCTGTAGGGTCAGTTCAGTGAACTGCTGGTCAGTTTAGTCCTTTCCTACTTCTCTCTGAACTGTCTAACAGTGGTGATGAATCACCTTGTGAATTCATTGCACTACTGTCTTACTCTCCACACCATCTTCTGTTCTACAGCCTCTGACTCTAAGCGCACAAACAATCTCCATGCGATGTGCTTCCTCCCTCACACCCCAGAGTCTGTGTACATGCCATTGATCAAGTAGTCCACCTGGGTGTAGTCCTTCCGCCTATAGCTCTCGTAGGCCTGTGTGACAAACACAGCCACTGTGACCAGGAAGAAGAGCAGGCCGAAGAGCAGGACGGCCAGTAAAGACGCTGTATCCACCAGCTGCCTGGTCAGAGCGGCTCCAGCTACATCTACCATGCCATCTCGCGTTCCCAAGGTGACCGGCTGGTTGGGATTGGCGGGAGCACTGGTGCTGGTAACAGGCCCTCTGGGTAAAGAGGTCTGAAATAGTGGCTTGTGAGTAGTTGGGGCATTTGGCTGTGTTGTGACAGCTGGTGGCAGTGTCATCTTTGTACCTGTGGTTGTAGTAATAGTAAAGGTTGTGGTAGCTCTTGTAAGCGTGGTTGTTGCTGTTACAGTTGTTGCAGGGTGTGGTGGTGGTGGTGGTGGTGGTGGTGCTGCTGCTGTAGATGTTGGTGTCACTGTTGTTGTGGATGTTGCGGTTTTTGTTGTCGATGTTGCCGTTATTGTAGTAGATGCTGGTGTTGTTGTGGCTGTAGAAGTCACCAGCACAGTGGTTATGTATACATTCCTAACAGATTCTGCAGTTGTAGATGTAGTTGTAGTTGTAGTTGTACCATTGCTGGTGCTGGATCCAGTATGAGCAGTCAGTGTGGCTGAGCCTGTGGTGGTAGGAGGAGGAGGAGGAGCTGCAGGCTGAATGACTGCCTCTGGTGATGGACTCTGATTGTCTGGTAGTGCCAGCTGTTGATTGGATGGTGGGGTTGTGGATGAATGGTTTCCTCCTTCGGCTTGGTTGAGTGAGGTTGAGGATACTATAGGCTCATTTAATTTGTGGCTGACAGAAGTGTGGATGACGGATGAAGACAAGTTGGGGGAGAATTGGTCCTGCTGTGGTCCTTCTGTGGGAGCTGTTTTCAGATTTAGATCTGTTGCATTTTCACTGACAGCATTGTTATCACCTGGGGAACAAACAATTCCATAAATGACTAAGCTTGAAAAGAAGGACAAAAACTTATTATTACGATTATTAACTTAATATAGAACATATAAAATAACCATGTTATAAATAAAATAACCAAAGCCTATGTAAACAAACAATATGGGACAAAACAAACTATGATGACAGAAGCTTTGTAAAGTAAGTAGACCTGTTCCGCTGACATTTGGGTAAACATTCCTAAAATTGATGTAAATTGATATTTATTTTGAAATCTCCTTCAACCTAAATGCAAACACTTTTAAAGAAGTATTTCACTGCTGAAAGATGGCCTTCCCACAAAACAAGGCTGTCATGCAGTAGAGATGCAAAAACTTCTGAAACTGTGGGTACAGGACCAGGGAAAACAGAGGAAAAGGGCTGCGTCATTGCTTTTGCTCATGAGATAGAAAACCTACATCTTCCAGAATGCACTGCGCCACACCCGACTAAACGTTCCTGCTGGCGGGTGATGTAATGCAAGATGCTCGTCCGAAAAACAAACAAACAGTCTCAACAAACAATCGCATATTACAAACAATAGGTAAAAGTGTGTTTCTGAAAGCATTTTTGGTGAGAAATAGGCAATGCAGTGACAGAATCTTGATTCATATCTGGTCAGCGCTGCCTGTTTCACTGCAGTTCAGGAGCAGTGATTTGACATGATTGACAACTATGTTACAGCAGTGGTTCCCAACTGGTGGGTCGGGGTTCAAAAGTGGGACCCAGGCTCATTCTTAGGGTTGGGTCGGTATGAGAAAAAAAAAAAAAAAAAGGTCCGTTTTTTGTACAAAACCGCATCAAGTCGGTAATACCCGATTTTCGCCACTTGGGGGCGCAATTGACTCATTTAAAATAAAAAACGACCTTAGGACAACAGAGTGACAGTAACAAGTTGTTTCTTTTATTCCTTACAAGTAAATTTTGCAGCTTACTCAGTCAGTGCAAACAAGGGTTGCCTCCTTCGTCTGGCTCAAAGCCAAAGTGTTGCCACAGTGGCGCATTCCTTGATTTCGTCGAGACTAAATTGTCCGCCATTATCGACTCCCTGTCACTATTAAACAAACTCCAGGCTACAGTAGAGGCGCATGCGCACTCACACCTCCTAGCTCAGTCCCCGCCCCACCCCCCTCTCCCTCCTACTTGCTGTGCGCTTGGTGAAGAGGCAGACACAGGTGCTCACAGACTCGGGCGCACTATAAGCGGAGTGGACTACATGTAAAAATGTCCTGCCATGTGAAAAATACATGCTGAACAGTCTTTTGTGTGACACTGGTGCGCGGAGCGGAGTCCGCGCGGTCGTGCTTTGCGCGCACAGTGCTCGCGGACGTCCACTTCTACCAGGCGGACCTCTGCGGCGTCCTGCCTGAGTATGCAGTCCGGTCAATCTCATAAAATAAAACCCGGTCCAAGACGGAGTACTGGACCGAATTGGTATTACCGAGAACCGACCCAACCCTACTCATTCTAAATGGATCCCAAGTGACTCGCAAGTGTGTCAAGTTTGTAAAAAACACTATCTTTAAGTAAAGTGAATTTCCAGTACAAAGCTTTTATTTTGAAGTGCCATTTCCTGCTGGGAAGTAAGTCACCAATGGAGAGCTACTTGACTGAGACAACAAACTAGTTCAACAACATGGCCAAATGTAAGTATGACACTGTACAGTGGCATGCAAAGGTTTGAGGACCCCTGGTCAAAATTTCTTTTACTATGAATAGTTAAGAGACTAGAAGATGAACTGATCTCCAACAGGCATAAAGTGAAAGAAGAAACATGCTTTTCCACATTTTAGGCAAGATTACTGTATCATTTTTGTTTTACTACTTTTTTGTTACTACTCAAAGTCAACAAAATTTTGACCTGGTGTGCCCAAACGTTTGCATGCCACCATCTTTATTGAACTCTGCGGACCTTGAACTAATGACTAAGGAAAAATGTGGACCCCGTGGCTGAACCAGTTGGGAACCACTGTGTTACAGAGTCCTAAGCTCTAATTGGTTGTTTTCATTCACACACAATAAGGCCATTAGAAATGCCACAATCCAATAGAGTAGGCAGAAGAATATGATTTTTTTTTTTTTTTATCTGTCTCATTTAGTGTGTGTGAATATAGCGACAGTTTCAGCAAATATGGAAAAAAAAGTTTTTGTTTTAATAAAAGTTACCATCTGGATCTTGAAATCATTTGAAGACATCATATTGAGCTATGGGAAATTATGAAAGGTATTTTTCACTGTGGTCAGACATTTCATAGAGTAAATGATTGAATGAAAAATGGATTCACACAACAATCCTCCTACAGCCCTAATCTTTTGTTTCTGCCCTTTGGCCTGTATAAAGATTTATAGAGCTTGGCAGTTAGGGTGAGGTATATAACTAAAGTATGATTTGGTCAGATCAGGCGATTTATTGTTTCCGTGGTAGTGTTAAATGGTGAAATCTAATGCTTAACTATAAAACAAAACCTACACCATGAGTGTCTCTGGTGGGACTCATACTCACATGGAGGGGTGCAGTTACCTTGTGTCTTGTTGAAATGGGTTAAGGGCTCAGCCATGCCTGGGTCCTTTTTAGGTACTGAGGAGGAGGACACAGTGAGGAGCAGCAGCAGCAGGCAGAGGAGATGAAGACACACTGATGGACACAGCTGGAGCGTTGAGGGATATGGGGACATGGTGGGCTGGGGGGCACTGACACAGACACACACACACACACACACACACACACACTCACATACACTACCCTAAAGCAACACACTCACATATATAGGTCTAGAGTGTATTTACACACATGCACACACTATCAACTTGCACAAAAAAGGAGCTGATGCTCGGCTGAAATGGGAGGATGGAGACCAGGAGGACGTGAAGGCAGCATCCACTCTCTGGACCTACATGAGACATCAACACCAACACAACAGCAGCCATTAGAGATATCAAAGAGATCATTTTGTTTTAGACTTTCTATGTTCCACACATAGATTGTACATAAAGATGGACGACATAACAGCTCCCCAAAAGGTGAGCCAGAACCTCTCGATTGCCCCCTGGTGGCTGGCTGCAGTACAGGTCATAAGCATCACCCTCTTTGTTTGCATACAGGACATGAGCCAAACCAAAAACCTTTAAGTACACCTTACATAAATTCCACAAATATATTTTTCCCAAAGATGGTTTCTGTCATTTTAGGTAGTTTTTAATCATACTGCTGTATGTTCAAGTGCTTATTTGTCTGATTAATGTGGTTTTAATTAGTTATTTGATGCTATAAAACAGGATTTGATGACATGATTGACAGCACTATGTGCCAGTTGGTGTGCTCACAATCAGCGAAACTGCTGGCGATTAGATCGGACGGGCTGGGAACTCTACACCGCGGAGATGGCTGCTGCAATATTCTGGGTACAAATGACATCGCCACTGCAAGATGAGGCCATATCCAGGATATCGTGGCTTAATTTCTGTACAGTGGGGGTAAGCGGAGCCGTGTCATCCATCTTTATTTACAGCCTATGGTTGAACTTGTAGAGACGCTTGTGATAGATAATACATAATAATACACTTAGATAATACACTTATATTTAGAGTTGTACCGATACCGATACCAGTATCGGAAATGCCTCCGATACTGCCTAAAACGCAGTATCGGGTATCGGCGAGTACAGCCTATGACCAATCCGATACGATAAGGAGCAGCTACCTCTAGGCCCAGCAGCAGCTACCATAGGACCCTGTAGCAGCCACCACCAGGCCAAGGAGCAGCTACCCTGCAGCAGGTAAAACAGTCAGCAACCTAGCTGGCAGTAGCAGTGTGGCTTGCTTGTAGCCTAGGTCTGCTGCAGATCTCCACTTGTTGCTTTCCATTGTGAAATTGCTGTTTTTGGTGGCAAGATGGCCACTAAAGAAATTAAGAAAGACATTGAAGACTTAAAAAATGCGGTGAACATGATGTCTGATGAACTGGCAAAAATAGCCAACCAGCAACGTACAATAATAAATCTGATGAATGAAATTAAAGAACTCAAGAAACAGAACGAGGAGCAAACGAACAAGATTAAGTTCTTGGAGAACCGTGTATCGGACTTAGAACAATACTCGAGAATGAATGATGTCATTATAACCGGTATGACGATCAAGCTACAATCTTACGCCAAGGCCCTGAAAGGAGTACAACAACAGGACAGTGATGAACATGATGACTCAACGGAGGCACAGGTAACATCTTTCCTTCATGACAATGATATCTCTGTAAACAGAGACGACATTGAAGCACGTCACACTATACCAACAAAGAACCAGAAAGTCAAACATATTGTCATAGTCCGCTTTGCCAACAGAAAGAATAAAATTGATCTTCTCAAGCAGGGCCAGAGATGGGACCAAGTCACACATGTGCAAGTCTCAAGTAAGTCTCCGGTCTTAACCTTCAAGTCTCAAGTAAGTCCCAATTCATTTTTTCTTGGGCAAGTCAAGTCAAGTCAAGTTAAGTCACAGGTTATATCAAGTCAAGTCAAGTCCTGTAATAGGTCAAGTCAAGTCCAAGTCAAGTCACCTTATTATTGTAATTTTACCTGCAGAATCTGATCTTAATAAAGTGAAAAGACAAGATATAAGTAACTGTCAGTAAACATTGACTTCATCGCTGCAATGTTTACTTTGCAGGGATGACCCCCATGTGTGCGCGCGCACGCACACACACACACACACACACACACACACACACACACACACACACACACACACACACACACTAACCAAGGCAGCAGCCAAAATCACCCATTTAGCTCATTTAACCCTGTGTTGCTCGTTCATAAAACGTA